GCAGCTGCATGCGATTCTAGGTGGGGACCCCACCAGTACCCCAACACTCTCCGTGGATACCTCCCAGGGGCCCCAGGTGGCCATGGGCAACAACAAGGAGGACATTATTGATGAGGAAGAGGAGGAGGAGGAGAATGAGCAGCAGACAAGCAGAGAATCCATTCTCCCCGACAGCCAGGACCTTTTCCTAACTCTGGAACCAATCCCCTCCCAGAACCTATTGCTGCAGGACTGTGATGGCGGGGAAGGCACCTCTAGTGAGTGCACACTTGTAATCACACTACAGGGGTTAAATGCAATTGTGGTTAATGTTTAATTTGAGGTAAACAATTGGGATACAGTGGTGGCCAGTGCAGCCACGCAAAGGGTACTCCCCGGAAAAGCCTGTTAATGTGCCAAGAGTTTCTCCACTAAAAAATGTCCCCAGGTGTGCCCTCACACCGCCTACCCTTTCTTGTGTGCTTACCATGCCTGCCTGCAAACCGAAATCTGCTACCCAGCGCTCTGCCATGTGCTGTACCTTACTGGTAGGCGCTTCTTTTAGAAGACAAAATGCAGCTGTGGACCTCAGGGAATGTATTTACTGCTGTGAAGTGTTTCATTCATCGCAAGAGTTAACCTTGTGTTTTCAACAATGTATGTTTTTCCTTGCAGCTGCAACATTGTCTGTGTGTGCTTTCTCCACACCAGCACAAAGGCTGCCCCAGATTAGAAGGCGAAAAAAGCGGCCCAGGGAAGACATGTTCTGACAGGGCCCAGCTGAATGCATGGAGGCTTACACTGTCGCAGAGCATGCGCATGGAACAAGAGGGCAGGAAAGTATGCAGGGAACAAGAGCGTAACACACAAGAGGAGATGTTGCGGCTTATGAGGGAGCAAACAGACATGTTGAGGCGTCTGTTCAGGTGCAGGAAAGGCAGCTAGATCTTAGACTTCCACTGCATCCAATGATGAACCAACTCCCCTCCTCACCAACTTCCATAACCTCCTCTCCCAGACGTCCTAGAATGCGAGGTGGGGAA